AGTGACCAAAAGTCATATATTTGTACAGTAATTCATGTGTTAATAAAGAAGGACTGGTAAGATCAGTGACCAAAAGTCACATATTTGTAGAGTACTTCATGTGTTAATAAAGAAGGACTGGTAAGATCAGTGACCAAAAGTCATATATTTGTACAGTACTTCATGTATTAATAAAGAAGGACTGGTAAGATCAGTGACCAAAAGTCACATATTTGTACAGTACTTCATGTATTAATAAAGAAGGACTGGTAAGATCAGTGACCAAAAGTCAAATTATCCTATAGTACATCATGTATTGATAAAGAAGGGCTAGTCAGATCAGTGACAAAAAGTAACAATTGGTACAGTACTTCATGTATCAATAAAGAAGACTTTTGGTCACTGATCTTACCAGTCCACATATTTATACAGTACTTCATGACATGTTAAAATATCTCAGGAATTCAACTCGAGGAGGTGTTTAAACATGGGGATCAAAGGTCATAAAATCTGTGAGCATAACGAAGCCAAAAAAGTGTATGAATGTGATATAAAATAAGAATATGGATTACATAAAAAGTGTTTTCATGCATATGGATTTGTTTTACAATGCACAATGTCAAGTTCATTTCATCTAGGGATATCTTTGGGGTTAAAAAGGTCACTCTCAATGACACTTTAATATTGCACTTGTCTTGGTCCTTAATTTTATTTATTTATTTTCTGATATTTTTTACAATCTCAAAAAATATAAGGTCTACCTATTAACCGAACATGTTTCTTTCAAAGATTAAAAAATATTATTTTCCCTAAAAACAAGCTAAATAATTGATTAGTAGAAAAATAATACAAAATGAGTAAATGAAAAAACAAATGACAAAATGGTCATTAGGAGTGAAGATCATTTCATGAATCACAGAACATGTAAGAAGAAGAATAAAACAGTGATATATATATTCAATATTCACCACTTATATTCATAGAATTCTATCACTTTGCCTCATTACATACAAATAGGTTTATTGACTTTTGATTCAACTCCTCTCAATATGTATTGCTTAGGTATTTGGACATAGTTTGATATGTCATGTAGTAATGAAGAAGAGATTTTTTCTGTTACAAACTATTTCAGACACTCAAAGCTCTGGATTTGGCATTATACTAAATGCTGAGAAAATTCCAACATTTTTTTACTTTTTTTCAGTAGCAGTAAAAAAAAAGGTAAAAAGTCAGAAATATTCAAACAGAACCATAATCTACATGAAATCATCTTATACTTGGTGGTCAAACATGCTGAAATGTTCCTAATCATCTTATTTACATATGCAATATTTCTTGGTATACAACAGCATCCTCTTCAGGCAAAATGTAAACATACATAATTTCCCTGTTGATCTCACTTAAATATAATTGGTTGCATTCTTTTTTATATGTATCTCGATGAGCACTAACTCAGACTTTAGGTCACTGATCTACCAGCACTCCTTTGGTTAATTGAATTCCTGCACAATCAAATTATTATTATTTTTTATTTAAACTAAGATTTTAGTTTAAAGTTTGTGTAATATTTGACATAAAGTAAACATTAAACATACAAACTGTATAACAAAAATGATTAACAGAAGATGAAGTGGATAACTACGTATGACTGAAAACCTTACATACATTATTACATTAAGTGGTCAATCACTTAATTAAAAGCACAATAAGAGTTTGGTTAAGTTATATACTGTTATACATCAGTGAATATTTTGATTGCCTATATCAAAAAATATATGGAAAATCAAAGCAAGAATATGTTTAGCAATTCATGAACCTACTGACTAACCAAAAAAGGCTATGAGAATAGAAAACTCTTTATCAGTTTCTATAGCCAACTGAAAACTTTTGCTCGTGAGCAGTTGGAATTTCTAATAGGGAGAAACATTGCTATTAAAAATATGTCCATGTTACCAATGTCACCGTGTGTTAATATAAAAATACTGATAACTGTGTAAGTAATATTACAGAATGAAAACCATCCCTCCAGCTATATACATAACCATGATAAAAATGTACACACCAAGTTTCCAGCTTTAGCATGTGTTAATAT